TGCACCTCTGGCCTGTATCCCAGTTCTGTATGCATAAAAAATAAATCTTTAAGGCCCTCACTGGTGGCACAGCGGGTTAAAGTGCAGCACCAAGACGCTAAAGCCACTTCCGATCCCTGCTGCACAGGAGGTGGTCCACATGGCACCTGGCAGACCTCTCCTGACCCGCCTGCTGCTCCTCTCAGCAGTATACTTCGACGATGTGCCTGTTCTGCTCCCCACTCTGTCTCTGGTGAATCTTCTCACTGCCCCTGCACCTCTGGCCTGAACCAGAGGTATACATAAATAAATAAAATATTTTTAAAAAAATAAATCATTTTTAAAAATACATTAAAGGGTACCATTTTTTCAAAGGCTGAGAAGTACCACCCACAATGCCCAGTCAGTATCTTCTCTTGTTCTAATCTCTAACCAATGGAACATTCTCCCATGTTAGCACCTGTACTTAATAATCATCTAGGGAGTACTAGATTTCAAAATAAGCCCACCTAGAAAACTTCTCACAATTCATTAACTAACCTTTCTCTTCCTTGCATTTCCCTATCCTATCACTCTGCTGTTTTTAAAATCATAACACAGAAGTATTCTTCTATACCTAGAATCTCCTAGTCTTTCACAGCTATCACACCCTCAACTCACTAAATCTGGTCATTACCACCATCTTGACCTTCAATGCCTGGAATTCAATCTAATTCAATCTTCCAGTTGACGACAACCTTTCTTAAAAGATAGTGGTATGGTATCTCCAAAGGAAGATAGTCCTCTCGTTACAGGGTAGCCCAGAGCAGACTGGGCAGCCTGTTTGTGGGGCCTCACCCACGCGCTCACAATTCAGTTATACTGCAAGTACACAAAAAAGGGTCAATAACGGTTTATTTACAAAAGGGGAAAGGAATAAGAAACAACCCAGGGAAAGAGAGCGGGATACAAATTAAGTGGAATACCTTATGGCCAGGCTGACTGAACACACCGAGCCATGCAGTCCAGAGAGCCATTTCCTGAGTGAGAGAGAGAGATGCAATCACGCCCTATTTATCCCACAAATGTCCCAGAATTCCTGCTCGCTCCACCCTTGGGTCCTCGCAGTTCTCTCCCTGGTACTGCTGGGAGTTGTAGTTTCCAATCACTGGAAGGGTATAGGGTCCAGAAAGCTGGAGTAGGGGGTGGAGTCCATAAGACTTCAGAGTTCCTATAGTACATCCTTCCCCTTAACACTCTGTGTTCACAACAGCACCTAACATGAAACACTCTGTAGTCCTATTACATAATCTGAAAAAAACTGGCTAAACACCCTCAGAATCTGTTCTGGCTCTGGTGAATATTCTCTCTCTCTCTCTCACACACACACACACATTATCAGACATAAAGTGACATTTCCTTTTAAGCTACTGTTACTTGGTTTAACCATCCTCTTACAGAGCCCTTTTTCACTTACTAATACATAGTAACCGTTCTATACATAATGAAAAGTGAAAAAGTGTAATTTAAAACAAAAATTGCCACTTTATGAATTGTGCTTCATTAGAAAAAGTTTGAAGATCATAGATCACAGAAATATTGCACTAGTTAAGTCACAAAGGCCAGAGTAATTGTTACTGCAACTACTATTATCAATAGCTATTTGTTTTTTAGCTTTAAATAAGGTATTCCATTTTATTCTAAAAGCATCATTTCCAGTTGTGGAAAAGGAAGTCTCAAGATATACTACCAACAACCTCAGGTCAGTTATATATGGCAGATCTGTATTAAAATTCAGTTTCTGGCAGCAAAGGAGGAGGGGAAAAGCAGTGCCAGAGGAGGCTTCCTGCTTTGCTCCTGAAAGAATAACTTAGGATATTCCAGACAAGCACTGAACTCAAGAGAATCCTGTGATGAATCCAGCACCTCTTTTGCACATCAAACCAACACTGACCATATGTGACAGAAGAGATACTAAGGAAAGTCAACAACAAATGGGTGGCAAAAGGCACCTGCTAGGGTGGAAAACATATTTCAAACCAACACTCCTGTGACAGGGTGGAACCCAAGTGGGCAGAACTGCTTAGTGTGGACTTAAACATGGGGAGACCATGCAAAACAGCTAGAGTGAACCAGGTATAAAGGGCCTCCAGTGGAGGGAAAAAAGCAGAAATGTACAACTATCTCCCAAAGTGTCCCTCCGGCTGAAACTGACACAAGGGAAGCTGCACTTGACAGCTCCCCTTGAAGTTGCACTAAAAG